AGTCGTGTTTGATAGAACTCTTTGAAGATTGTGACATTAATTGTGATCATTTCTTCTTATAGAGAGAGTGTATATTTCTATAAAGTAATCGAAAAAATCAAATAGTAGCAACTCTTAGGAACTCATTTAAGAGTAGTAGTCCATGCTTGCATGATTTCCACTTCAAACAGCACTTTTAATACACTATCCAAGTGCCTGGTAACTAGTAACCCGGAATGTTTCCACTTTGTCCCGCTACCATTCCACATTGCAACCACCAATTTTAATTCTTACTGCCATTGAATATAAGATGCTGCCATAAAATTTTATGCACAAGCAATGCCACGCTTAGCTTTTCCCATTTAACTTCTCTGGTATCGTTGGGTTTGATAATTTTGCACAAAGTTCGTGCAGTTGTTAATAAAATACGAAGTCGTTATGAACTTAAAATGTTTCATTTGTGACTTGTTACGTAACGTTGAGTATGTACCTAATAAAATATATGTGTTGTAGTTCAGTATGGTATAATGTAAAAGTAATGTTCAAAACATAATATCATTGATTTGTTGCTTAGTTGTTGTGTTATTTAAAAGGTATAAACTGTATGAACTTCATTTACGGAAAACCTTGTTTTAGTCTAACCATAACCTGGTAGATAATGACGTAACTGATAAGTAGGTAACCAGATAAAATATAGTTGTATAATACTTTGACAATTTTTTATAAAAATAATGAGATATTACTCTATTCCCAATTTATGAATTCGTATCAACAATATATTCCCAAATGTTTTAATTATAAATTAAATGATACATATTTTGTTTTATATATTTTCAGGTAAAAATTAATATAAATTGTGGTACTAAAATTATTGATAGATCCATATATATCAAAGAATAGGTGATTTTTACTAATATAAACGCTGGATCTCCGAAAACGAATTGTGCTTCATGTGGGACATAAAATAGCTGTTCACAACTCTGAACACGAACGCTACTCGTATGTTTGACACACGGTAGCTGTAACAATGTTCAGACAATGCAACCCCGCGATTGAGTTAGAAAATCGCATCGCATTGTATACGATACCTAATCGAAATTCACGTCACAGAATTAGTGATAAGAATTTGGAAATGCCCCAAAATTAGAGCCTGATATTGATAATGCATGTTTCGATATTGTAATAAATAATAATTCGGTATAGTGACGTACCTGAAGATACATTACATGATGTCACCACAAACTTCATCCCTAAGAAGCCGTTTAAGCATATCTAAACGGCTTAGGGATGAAGTTTGTGGATATGCAGACTCCCTGTACATTTGAGAATAATTGATATTCTCTATTTTTTAATTATTTGTGTACACTTTTTATAAATTTACTTCCTTTATATATTCGTTTCATCTTTCAGAATTATTTGTAGAACATTAAATGCATTTTCAGCCAGCCAAACGTTATCATGTACACTGAAACGTGAAAGTACTTGTTTATGTAATTGAAATATCAAACAATCTGACAGCCTATAGGATAATGAACGGTAACTGTCGCCTACATATATGAACAGCTCTACGAACATCACGATTTCATGCGAAGCTGTATTTTTACTGTCTTAATCCCACCAAATAATCCCTTGTATATAAATACATAGACTAGTAAGCAGATGATTTTTTACAAAGTTTACCTCGCATATTATATCTCAATGATAATGAGCTTAAAAATAATAAGACATATAAAGTATCTATAAATGAATGCATATCCTTTAAATATATATCTGCGTGGGACACAACTGTGTTCTGGCACCGGCATCATACGCGACTGCACAAACCAAGGTAATGACGTTAAATGTTACAATGTTGCAAATCCAGTTGGACACAAATTGGCAGCTCTCTTGCTAACTATTACGGTTTTATTAATACTACTTCGTAGTATCTACTGTTACATTTTCTGTACTTATATCACGGACCAATCTGGAACAAACTAGGGCACAAATGTTTGCAGATTTTCATGAAACTGTTTTCGACCGAATTTCAAAAGAAGGAGGTTCTTTGTTTGATTATATTGTCAAGTTCTTTTTATTGTGTATCGTCACTAATCCAATGGATTTTTATTTTGCAGTCGACTATTCTCTCTAATAGTTTCAAGTCAGACTTTATAATATTAAAATTGATGGACTTCACTATTTTGTTTTCTTTTATTTAATTTAGCTACAATTACAGCGTGTGAAACTATAAACATTCTTTGTGCAAAACTACTGTCACTATTAAGAGTTCTATGAATTTAATCCGCTGATCCAATATCGGTTGGTAGCTAATCTAATAAGACTTTCATATCATCAACGTCATCATTTCTTCTACTACCGTACACTCTTATTACATTAACATCTCTACAACTTTGCGGTCGCCCACAGGCTGAAAAATTTATTTTCAATAACATACTAACTTAATTCCACTCATAATATATCATTATCTCATACTAACCAGTTTTCAGGCAAAATATAGATAGTTGTATTCATATGCATTAATTTTAATATCATACTTGCGGTCTGTCTGTCGTCACGTGGCTGTCGTAGTCTATGAAAACTTGGGACATAAGTGACACAACTTTTGTCGACCCTAGTGACATGTAGATCTTGAGTGACTGTACCCAGTAATTTAGTATTAAAAGGACGTTTTACGTAAAGAATAAGAACTGTTATTTCGATGTCTTTAACTCTGTCTGATTAGACGTTACTCACAATCACAATACAAGTTGTACAACAAATTCAATGTTCCGGTAATTTCGTTTTAAATGAAAAGAATTGCTGTATTGTATACCACTGCATACAAGAGAAAATAATAAATATTTTTAAATGTTTCCATCCTGTATCATGTTGAAAGACAGTGAAATGAATTTAAACAATTTTATTCCTTATTACCAATTTAGAAGGTAAATATTTACTGATCTAATTTTGAATTATGCAATATAAAAGTAGTCCATCATGCTCATGACAATGACCACTACGGAGTTGGTCATTCTTGTACTAAAAATCGACAAGTCAATATGTATGCATGTAATATGTAATAAAAATGCCTAATTAGGCGTTTTACCTATTCACCTGTTTTACGTATAGGTAATTACCTATTCTTATTAGTAGTTGCTATTAGGTATTACCTACAAGGTTTATTCAAAGTTACTGATTTCAACGAAATGGCCGTTAAGGTTGTTACTTAATGTAATTGTGCAACGTAGACCTACAAAGGCAATGTAGATCTACATTGCCTTTTGGCATGGCCTATTGGCATGTAGATCTACATTGCCTTTTGTTGTAGAGATCAACACTTAAATAATCCCTCCTCTTCTTTTGATTTTCCTCATCAATTGTCTATACATCTTCAAGTTACATAATACTTGCCAACGTTTTGATGTAAATGAGTTACTTTTGTTTTTTATAGATGTCCTTACTGTGGTTTCAATCATCCCATTAAACTCCGAAAAGTCCGTTATTTTCATTTAATAAATTATTTAATATGCATTAAATTTATAATGCCTTGTTTACAACTGCGTAAACTTAATTTAACTCTATTTAGTAGCAACTGAGTATCATATGTAATAATGTTTTAAACTAAATTAACATCTAATCGCCATTGTGCCGTTGAAACGGCACGATGGCCGTAACTTTGTATCTAGACAATTCACGGTGCCATTTTATTACTGCGTAGTTTTGGCTCGTTTGTTGCACATCCAGTTGTGTGACAACGAACCCAGTTAATATCGTTAAATGGTACATTGTTGCATGTGCATGCAGCAAAAGTAGCCTCTGTAGTGTCCTAACGTCTGGTGTAGACCACTTTGAATTTAGAATTGGCTCACAAACTCAGATACATTGTTTTGTCGAGTTTCGGAAATACACAGGTATTAGAAATGTAGCGTTTATAAAGTAGTTCTGTTGTGTTTCAGAAGCACAACTTTTTGAATCGGTTCATTTATAACAATTTTGGTATCTAATTATATTTTGCAAACGGAACGGGTTGGACGTTAGTCACTTTCAATATTGTTGCACCTTAAAGAAAAATTGTCTCTATTAGCATGTATATATATTTTAAAACTATTGGCATTTACAACAAAGTCTCCTGCCGCGTTTGCCTTTAGGTATATCCTAATCATCTTAAAAATTAGTAAACGGTAATGGTTTTCATCACACACGAAAGGAGTAATTTCTAAGAAAGAATTTGGGGTACAATTCGATAAAGTTTTGTGTATATCAAAATCTCGTGTAAAACGGGGCTTACTTGGGGGGCATAAATTAAGCAAAAGACAATAACACATTTAGATTAAAGTTTAAGGTACAGAATTTAGTATGGTTATTCTGAGGGTAAGAAAAAATTTTGAAGACATACTTTTATTTTTCAATTTAAAATATATTGCCAGGTCTATAAGAGCTGTTTGTCTCTGGTGAACTAATATAATGAAGTAAGAAATTCACTTAAAGTTATTAAAATCCAATAGTGTCGCCGCAGTGCTATTATAACTTAATTGAAACCTAACTGTGGTCAGAGTTTGAAAACTGAGGAGAGTTTATCAGTATTATACACAGGTACATACTTATTTATTTACATAGTTAAGGTCTAGAGTAGGTACCTACTATATAATTGTTACTTTTAGTACAGAATGTATATTTAGTTGAAAAATAGATAGTTACAATTTTATACAGCGCCATCTAGACCCAAACTAAATAGAGCTTATGCGATGAATAAAATGTAATAAAATAAAAACCTTTCGTTCTAAATCAGCCCATGTTTTATTAATAGATAGTTGGTGGATATGCATGTAAAACATACATAACGTATGTTTTACATATACGTCACAAACAATACTACATACTCATACAATGTTTGTAATTCCTATATGGAATGTACTATTTTGGTGTTATATAAAAATAGTTAATATTGATAAATTATTCTTATTATACCATTATTATACCATTCCTTCATGCTGATACTATTGACAATTAATATACTGACATATAAAATATATTTGTTTCAGTACGGAATGGTTACTCGTGCGTACCTGTAGCACTCTCGGAGGGACTGGATATTAAATTGGGAACAGCTGTTACGGATATACAGTACGGAGGACCAGGAGTCACGGTGAAAGCTGTCAACCCCCGAGCACCGAATCAGCCTCAGGTTTTCAAAGGTAGCAATTATAAGTATTATAGTAATAAAGGTAGCAAGTAAAGTAACAATTATATACGTGTGAATTTCAGAAGATTATAAAGCTTGTTAGGTCCCTTGAAAAAGTACAGAGCATCGTGATTTTATAAGGTTACGAAACAGGTTAAAAATATATAATACCTGAGATAACATTTTACATTTCTGACAAATTCTTCTGTGGATCACCATTAACAAATTAGTCAAGGCGATGACGGTTGACTCGTCTCATTCCGTAATGAATTTCAATGTGTAAACTGAAATGTACACAAATTTGTTAATGGCAGAAAAATCAAAGTGCCATAGAGAATCTTTGTCTTTTCGTAAAATCTTTCTTTACATAAGTAAGTTCTTCGTACATTATCCATTTTCAAAATTTATCCATAGACGCTAGTTTTTTGGTCTTTTCTGCTATGCTTACAGTTGTGTACGTGTTTCTTTCTAATAAAGTAAAAATGTCGGTTTTAGGTTAAGAATAGTTCTAAGATTGTATTACACAAAAAAGGTTTTAATTGGTATAATGAAAATGAATGCAAAAACTATTACAAAGCCATTTCAAATCAAAGACGGCGTTTTTAGGTTTTATATATTTAAAAAATAGAGTTGGAATTAATATCGTCCCTTTTTAAATTACTTGAAAAATAATACATTTTCATTCATAACGATGCACAAATTTTGTCAAAACACGCTTCATATTGATTTTAGCCGTAGGCCAACATCCATATTGTTACAAGAATTCGTATTTCCCGTCCCAAATAGAAAAATCAAATTCATGTGGCCGTAATATTAAAGAAGTGTCGTTTGGTAAAAAAACAAAGCATGATAATGGGCGTTATGAGAAAAATCCACAACGCCGTCGGCGGCTCCTTGTCATTTCTTTGTCGCGAAATGATTTGCAATTCTAACGCGTTAATTTCGCTTTGATGAGGTTCAGGCGCAAAAATACGGTCGAGCCGCGTTGACCCGTTGCCTCCCCTCTCCCCCTGATGTGCCTCGCCTTAGGCCCTTCCGTCACATTTGCATACAGGCGGAGTCTATTGTGGAAGAGGCAGTTAGATGTTTGAGAGGCGGTGCTATTGTCTGGCTAGTTTTAGGTTCCGCTGTGTAGCTAGTAATTACATGTCAGATATTTCAAGTATGCATATATATTAAATTCTAATTTATTAAAAGGATGTCTGGAATAATTTTATTGCAATTTCAGTTACTCGTATTGCATTTCGTTTATTAACCAGAATTAATTGTAATTATGGTTTTAGAATTGATAATGAGTATATGACAATCCTGGTGTTGCCAGATTTTTATATAACTACGAACATTTTATATCAAAATTGTTACAAATCAATTTGCTTTTTAACATAATTAGACTTGTATATATATTCTAATATAAGTGTGTACAGGACATGATATACAATCCAAATATAATTGATATGTATCAGTATCACCCTTGTGGGTGTGATAGCTAATAAAAAATAACATAATAAATTCTATTCACTGCAACTTTAAACCTTGGCAAATCACGTGATGAATTATTATTTTTCTCTTATTTGAATAGAATTTCAATTTTATATGTAACATTGTCCATAGTTTTATTCAATCATTATACTGATATATGTATGAGCCAGGCCGGAAATATAAGTGAAATTAAACCACTTATACAAAACTTTTTAGAAAAATAAATATCTACTCTGCCTGTATCGTATCTACCTTTGTACTTTTCGAAGATCACATGTTCGTAATCAAGGCAAAGAGCTCTTTAGCATGTAAAAGGTTAGGTAGAGGATGCTTTGTTCGGACAAACTTTTGCTTTCACACTGATTGCTTTGCCGGCCGCTTCATTTGGCTATCTCCCTATATTCGGAACTGTGGAAGATTTGAATTCGATTCCCCATTTAGAGCAATGGATTGGATTGCTACCCAAATAGTTAAAGGTCGCTTAATTAATTTCCTATAGGTAATTAATGGGACTAGGTACTTTTGTGGAAAACAGGTCATTGGAGTGTTTACCTTTGGGTTCTCGGGTGAGACCTACTAGTATTATGAATATGTAAGTTTCTAAATATATTTAGGTGTTTGTACTCATTCATACTTAAAGGTTTAGATTGATTTCATTGTAATTTGATACACAAATAATTCATACTTTTAAATTAACGAAGAATTTTTTTAATACATATGGATGACGCCGTGTGACACTACTAGTGATTGTGTAAAATAATTATAAGAAAACTTAAAATTTTAGTCTATTGGTGTATATCATTACTTGCATCTTATAATGCAGAATAAATGGCGAGAAAACAATGTATGTTGAGTGACTACGTATATACGTTACGTATGTATACACATAGCTAAATAATGGTAATATTGTTATTATAAAATATATCAAATATACCTATGTATATAAATGTGTCAAGAAATCACAAACGTAAATTCATGTATTGTTTGATTTACGTTGTTTTAGCTGTGAAACAAAATATTAGACTTATGACAGTTCCTATACCTCTTTTTTAAACTTTTAAGACTTGTAATTTTTATTTACAGGTGATGTAGTATTGTGCACTCTACCTTTAGGTGTACTGAAAGTGGCAGTGGCGAATAATGGCCAAAACCAGCAAAACTTTGTGAAGTTTGATCCACCGTTGCCCGATTGGAAGGTCCGTTACCAATTTCTATATATTTTTAGGATAAATCAAACAAACAAAATAAATATTCATATAATTGTCTATTCTTATTACTCACACACTTGTTAAATGTATACCTCGAGTGCATATTTGACTAAATTAATCTATTAACACTATTATTATTATACTTACACGTATACGTACATTTTTCCATTGTGTATATTTAAGATGTAGTGTTATATTTAGGTGGCCGCTATAAAACGTTTGGGTTACGGAAACTTGAACAAAGTCGTATTATGTTTTGAGCGTACCTTTTGGGATCCAAGCGCTAATCTCTTCGGACATGTTGGAACTACAACAGCTAGTAGAGGTAAGATTTTTGTTTTTTCCATAACATATTTTCCTAAGAATTAAAAGTAGACAGTGAAATTAACATGTTTAAAAATACCCAAAAATTTATAATTTAAAAATTAACCCTAGCACAAGTAATTATTAACGTTACAAGATTTTTTCCAAATTCCATTCTCTTACTTATGAGATGGGTTTTAACGTTGTCGTCTCTTATGAATTCCTACGAATAGAAATCGTAGTCATATATTTTTTAACCTAACCTTTATTACGTCAAATAGAGCCAAACAATTATGTACTGAATTAAACTTTGTAAAAGTTATTAATTCGGTAATGTTGTTTCGATATTTTATTTAGTTACTAATATATTTATGTAACCATTTAAATTGTTTGTAGTCCCACCGTAATCGTTCACAGTTTATGTAGTATTTCATAATTCTGATATTGAGCGACGTCGAGCTTACCTACCTCCGGTAGCTCGATATTAATGTAAAACTACCACTAAATCCCCGCAAATTAACCGAGCCTCTCGTAACCTCCCTAAAGACCCGCACCGTAAATTATTTTCCGGTGTAAATAGTGTAAAACGCAGAACACCGGTGGCCGCGATAACGAATTAAAAGCTGAATAATTTAACGCTACTCAGGAACCCTGAGGGGGAGCTGCTTGCAATAAATCACAGCAACGAGCCAAGACAAGCTTTTTTTTCACGTTATGCTTTAGTTCACCTCCTTAGTCTTTGTTGTGTGTTCTGCTAACTTCATTAAGGCCCCCACGTTCGTTCTGGGAAAGCCGGAACAATGTACATTAGCTTTGTGATTTTTTAATCGTGGCCAATTTAACGTTTTCGGGCTTGTTCGTGTTTAAAGAGTGCTATCTGATGTGGTGTTATCGTTCGATGTCACTCCGAGAATTATGTGAGAACGTGACCGCCGTACTTGCTTATAGTAAGATCTAAGAATCTATAGCTTTATAAGAGATATAATTTATTCTTTATATAATATTCATGTTTGTTCAAGTTATTATTCTTTTAATTCCTATATCGGTACTTTTTTATGTCTAAATAAATATTTTTTTGTAATAGTTGAAATAGTAAATATATATGATAATGTGAAGTGGTAGTTGAACTTTAGTCTCAATTCCAACAAGCTTAAACTTACCAACTAGCCAGCTTGTGACCTAAAATTTGCACACGCTAACTAATTATTATCGGTATAGTACTCAGTTAATAGCAGTTGTAACTAGCAATTATTTCATAAATTATTGCAGTTGGTAATACAATAATTTATAGAATAATTACTAGGTATTTTCTAACTTTGTTAAAGTCCTATGAATTTTCATATCAATTTTATCATACAGTTCTGTTTTTAAAACGATTCTAAATAAAACACTGACAAGTTTTTCTATAATTTGACGACCTCGGTTGTCTAGCGGTCTAGCACACCGCTTTACGTCCGATGGTTCCGGGTTCGATTCCTCACAAAGTACAAACATTTGTATTCATGAGTATGGTTGTTTGTATCGGTCTGGGTGTTTTCTATGTATAATATGTATGTATTTACGAATAAAAATTATCTATATATTTGTATCAGTTGTCTAGTACCCCTAACATAAGCTTTAGTTGGCTTAACATGGGTCTGGATGGCGCTGTGTGAATTGTCTTTAAAAAAAAAACTAATCATATTTTCCTGATCAGATAAGGCGTTTGAAAAACCTTACGTTTACGTGTAGCTTACGTGGTATTTTTTTATGATATAGGTAATAGAGATACATGGCATTATACGGGAATCCTGTAATACTATTAACGTTAAGATAAACGAGTAAAAAGATAATTACATATGTGTTTGATTTTTTGGTAAATTGTACCCTCGTTTTTTTTCATCATTAGGAGAGCTGTTTCTGTTCTGGACCATGTACAGTGCGCCTGTACTTCTGACGCTGGTAGCAGGCGAAGCAGCAGCTGTTATGGAGAATGTCACTGATGACGTAATCGTGGGTAGATGTATTGCAGTACTGAAGAGTATTTTTGGTCATGCTGCTGTCCCACAACCCAAAGAATGTGTGGTGACCAGGTTTGTGATTTTCTATTTCGTTACTAAGAACCTTCACTAAGTATCAGTTCATCAGTTGTATCCTGTAACGTTGTGAGGGGGAAAGTAGATTGTTAGTTATGTGGACTATTGACCTCATTGCTAGCAATTTACCATGTCAGATGGAAACCACATGACAAATTCCTTGAGAATTTGTCAAGATGAGCTAACTGACCTGACTTTATACTCATGTTATAATTCTCCACTGGTGCCCCGTCAGCGTAGAGCTTTAGCGCAGGCTGGGGCATAATTCCATTATCATCCATAAAAAGAGACGTTGCTTATGACTGATAATAAAGTTGGAATATACTATGATATGCATTGTAATATAGGTAACATGAGTAATGAAAGAACTAGTTTACAACATCTGTAGCCAACTCGTCTCATAACGTGAGACGAGTTATGATAGAGAAAGGAACAAGAGTTATTGATAAAGTCAGAAACCATTGGGTCTCGTTTCAACCTTACTACTCCGTCTTGTCAAAGGATAGTGTTACGAGTGTATACGACCTCTATGCTGTCTATCGTTATAATTTATTTTTTTGTGTCGAATGGAACAGTCTTGATATAATTTTACAATTATAGAAAATATATCATATATGTACATATGATTTTAACCACTATATAATACAAAATAACCTAACCACAAGAGACAGATAACTGTAACTTTGTATTATAAAAGAGAGTGAAACGATTTTTATGTTTTTAATTGATAAACCTTACTCAACTTCGCACGTTTAAAACCTTAGGAAACTTACCTTATTAGCTGTCAGAAATATAGGCTGTATTCTGTATAGGCGGAACCCAATAATACATCTAATTATGTATACCTATGTATTTGAATTCATTATTAATTAAAATATGGTTTTTCCATGCGTTGTTTGTTGTAAAATTTATTTACGCCCATAAATACTAATTTTAACCAGGCCAGTCCCTTACGGCACCCGTTCCCGGTCGTAGAATGTTTATTGTTTCTGTAATTTTATCTGCTATATTCATATATTTCATAGATGGCGTGCAGATCCTTTCGCACGCGGTTCATACAGTTTCGTCGCCGTGGGATCATCTGGGACTGACTACGATCTGTTGGCAGCTCCGATTGCTGGCGCCCCTGGGGAGAATAGGCTTTTCTTTGCAGGTACAGAATACATATATTACTCGTACTGCCTTGAAGATTAGTTTCTGTATTAATTATCACATGCCTCTTGTTATTGTGTAATTATTTATCCAAAATAACATTTATTCAAAAGAGCAATACACAAGTTTTTTGCCCATTCTTCTTGTGATGAGTCTGCGGTCCAAATGAGTGGTAGAATAAGAAAAATAGGACTATTCAACAGTGCTTGTATTTAGTTTATTTGAATAAAGATTATTTCTATCTATATTTACAATATATTAGATATGATGATACAAATTCAACATTGACAATTTTCATTGAAATAAAATTCGACATCCATAGAAGTATAAGGACTGTTGAATATAACATATACGTGCTCATACTTCTATAGATAATGAATATATTGAATAATGATGAGTTATTGACATACTGTGATACATATCACAGTATGTAAATAACTAAGAAAATAAAACATGTCAATCAATCTGACTTATTTAATACTGGCTACTCGCCCCGGCTTCGTGCGGGTATGTAATATTATATTATCTGTGATACGGGTGTACTTGTATTATATATCTCTTATCTATTAAAAAAAAAGCTTCAAATTCCGTTGGGTAGCTCTAAAGATTTAAGCATACATAGGGACAGACAGCGACAGCTACTTTATTTTATACTATGTAATGATGAAGTAAATAAAATATCTAGTAATTATATTAAAGGACTGTATATATGATAATATCTAGTATAAGAGTTTGTAAGAAACACCTGAATAAAGTTGTCGGAATACCTTCCCAAAGATGTAGCTTTGATCTTTTGTCATTGAAGGTACTGGTGGTCGCTTCTAGGGGAACATATCTATAAATATCGTTAAGGATGTTAGATTAATATTTGCAAACATCGAACATTGTTACATATTTGGCAAAGTCAAAACCATTTATTCAAATAAGACACATATCGTTACAGTTTTATGACTATGCCATATTGTAACGATTGTTATTTTTTTCAGGCGAACATACAATGCGTAACTATCCAGCTACAGTTCACGGGGCATTCCTTTCCGGTTTGAGAGAAGCAGGACGTCTCGCAGACATGCTGTTGCCTCAACCACCGATAACGAATGCAAGTGTAGCAGCGGCAACGGCCGCAGCACTTCATTCTTAAAGTTTGACTTTAAATAAAGTCCTTTTTTTTATTATAATAATTTCTATGTGATGAAATACTTTTAAGTTGTAATTGTTTAGTATTAATTAGTTTGATTGAATAGTTTAATTGGACGCATGTACTATTATTGAGAATTCCATACATAGATAAAATGACCCTGACTTCCGTAAAAAAATAAATAGTACAAAGGTTTACTGAATTATTTTGTGACGTGTTTAATTTGTTACTTTAATTATACGACATTGGATAATAACGTTACAAGTAACACCAGAAAAGTTTACATTTTGTTTGAGTAATTTGTGAACACCTGCAATTTGCAAATAGTGTCAAAATAATGGTTTTAAATTAAAAACCAATTTGCAAAGTAACCTATAAATCTTTATGGTATGTATTGAACATGTTATAATCAAATGATCAGTTAGTCTAATTTAAAAAACTATATAAAAATTATTGCATTTTGTTATTTTGAATTTCATGCATTTTTAATTAACCTATTACTTATGCAATAGGCATTATTATATTTCAGACATTTGATGGTAATAACTTTACTGACATTTTAATTTTATTAAGTTAGCATACTGTGTCTGTATTGAAGTAATTGATGAACAAAGATAGTCGTGATATTAGATGTAGCATAATCAAACAGTGTAACAAGCGTAAATATATAAATTCCATAAGAAATTAGTACCATTGAAATTACTTTGCCATAACACATTACGGTTACTTTGTGGTACGAGACGTGAGCTTAAAATACCAGTTCGGGTTGTTTCTTTGTAATTAATGCATTAGCACGTAATTCTACGTACTTGTGGCATTAAAATTAAAGGTCCCTTAAAATGTAATTACAGTCTTCCGTTAAGTGCGCTTTGTGAAAGAGATAACTTGGACGTAAAAGAGAAAGAGAAATCGAATTTTAGTTAATCTCTCCACATTTAGAATTTAGTTAGAACCCATGAATATTAAATCTGATTTTTAGAATTCTTAAGGAGCACTCCATAAATTACATCACTTGTTGGGTGTGGGTGGAGGGGGAAGGGTCGACACAGTGTCTTATTGTATTGGAAAGGAGTTGGAGGAGTCTTAAGTCTCAATTTTAATGTTTAAACACTAAATTTTAACTATTATAATATGTCCCGTATGTGACTAGTAGGGTTGAGGGGAGCGGGGTTTAAAATGACTGAAATTGATGTGTGTAATTTATGGATGGCCCTTAATAATACTGTAAACAATGATTTAAAGCTATTTTAAATATTATTTTAAGTCATACGTATATATTAGTCAATTAGAGCAACTAAATAAATACGTCAAAAATATAGAGGAATTAACTCAGCAATCAATGACATCAACTTTACAATGGATTTAATGGAATAAAAATGAAATAAAATGTTATTTCTTCAATGGGACTATTGGTGGTTTATGAGTAAACCCAGCAGTCACATCGTGAAACTACACGATTATTCTTTTTATTATTTTATTATTTGCCGTCGCTACAGCACGGCTGTTTATATTAAAATACAGACTATGAGATATAGTAAATGTTTATAGTAAGTAATAATATTGGCTGTTATAACTGACTGTGGTTAATCATGTCAAAAATAAATTAAATTGACACATAATATCATAGAACAATAGTGCTTTACAATTTTTTCACGGTTTTTATAAATACAAAACATTATGTAAATGGGATATTTCTATAATCTTACTATTGGAACTGCATCGAAATATCGGGAGGTCATGATATGATCTGTAAATGTCCCGTTTATATAATGTATACACGAATTACAGAAGTAGTCTTAGGTATAAGATTATTTGTAATACTTATGTTCTAGAATAAGATCTTATTGTTTAATTCTTTGTTTTGCATCCCATGTTTTTCTTTTATGTAAGCTGTAGTGTGTGAGAAATATTAATTTTGAATAAATAATCGTTTTATTGTTCCCCGGTGACAACTTGTTAACCCTTTTTGACGCTGTAACCCTAATAAGATAATTGGTAGCTTTAAAGGTATCTAATTGATTTACAAATTAACTAAAAAATAAAGGTAGTGATATAGATTATCTCTACACCGCCTATTAATCAATCAATCTATCAAATAAGTAAAAAAAGTATTATTTAATTAACTATGCAAGAAACATAATATCTAAACGAAAGGTGTTCAAGCGTCTGAGTTTGGATTAAATTGGACAAATTGATACCTCAAATAAACACCTGCCTGGACAAAACACCAAATGTTGTATGTGGTGCCAGTGAAGAAAAAACAATCTACAATATATTTATTTATCTATTCATCCCATTTACACGTGTTAAGGAAAAGAGTGGGTGGTTATCCGCTACAAAGAATTTTGATTGCTGTTGCGATATAGGTATCTAGTACCTATTTGTATTATCGCCTTTCGCAAATTGATTGTATATTTATTGTGTAGGTATATAGATTATTTCTTGTACGCAAAAAGTAAATCACACTATAAAACCTAAACAATTAGTAATAGAATTTTTGCTTTATCATTTCTATACAGTGACTATCGCCGAATATGCAGTAAAAACTTGTTATGTATCTATCGTTTATGTTATATTGTATGTATATAAAGTTTATTTATGCTAATTAAATAGAAATAAAAAATAGTACATTTAGAAATTTTTATACTTTCTAAGGGAGCTTATCTATTCGTACTCATACTTCGTACGTACACTTCCACGCGCTGATTCATCTTTTCTTTAACCATACCTAATTTTTATCATCTTTTAGTATGATAAGTTTATTTGGTAACAATATTAAAGTTTTTCTAATATTGTAAAGAACATTGAATTATTAGTTAGGTTTGACTAACGATATATGTGAAACTGTACCTTTTTTATGTAATTACAGAAGTTTAATAAGAGTGTTATCATTGGTTATCGACTAAATTTAGTAGAGTAAATTTAAAAGTAAAATAAAGCAAATAATTTTGAAACAAAAGTAATAATATCCGATTGTCATAAATATTTGTTTATGTTCAGGATTGTCTTCAAAAGTTTGAAATTAGATTATTGAGAGACAGTGTAGTACTGACTTTGAAATAATTTAATACTTAATTCCGTTCTCTTGGAGAGAGGAAAAGAGCGCAATTGCCAATTTAATTATATGAACTCAGTTAGATTTCTGAAAAGCTGATCAAACTTAAGTTCGACAAAGGAAATTATCCAATCAAACGTCTGAATAATTCTGATCATGGAGGCAATCATTTGTTAAATTGGACGAGAGTTGTCATTTTGAATTGCAATAGTATGAATTATGTAATAATATTATTTGATACGAAGTTTATTTTAAAATTAGGCTCTTTCCTTATAAACGCTATTAATTATACAGTGTGTAATTTGGATGCTTTGTTACCTATTGATAATTTTATTAGTGTTTGCTTGGAATACTTTTTAATACTTAGTCACATTTTTTTAATACTCGGTGACTTTATTGATACCTTAGCTATTTATTAACTACATTAATTGTTTACTTGGCCCTCATAGTGATATTATTTTTGAATACCATCATCACATTAATTGATCTACTGATCATTGAAAACTTTTCAATGACAGCGTGTATAGAGTTAGGTTTTCACAATGTAAAGATTGTTATCAAATGAACACTGCGTGAAGTCTATGTACATAAGCATAGGTACTTTCATTGTGAATATTTTCCCATTCTAGCGTGGACTTTAGTCGCTAAGTCGTAACTGTACTGGTAGATTTCCTGCTCATACAGGTCTATTGCGTGCTAAAAAGCGGTGTAATCGCGTGTCCAGACACAAAACCATTAAATCCAGGATCGTCAATATACGATTACACTAAAATAACATGGCGATATTTATTTATAGTTCCTTTTTAATTTGAGTTTGTTTACGCGCTAGGCGGGGCGGGTGACGGATTTATGGAGTATTTTAATTGCATTTTTAATTATTTTTCAACAACTACGCTGCCGGCAAATTGAATACGGCTCACGGGAACTATTACGATCTTATCTCTGTACCTAGCTACAAACTAAAAAAAACTATTGTTCAAAATATTATATCGCATGTACGAAATGATGTTACTAATTTACGAGCCCATTATGTTTATCTCTTAAATCGCGGTGAAATATTTTTAAACGATGCTAACTAGATCTAATAAATTATAAACAATCCTCTGGAGTGTGTTAAAATGATAACTTCTAGTACAAAATGATATATGTTTTCTATATATTAATACTTAATTGAATTTTGAACAATTTGCATAAAAATTAATAAAGTAACGAATAAATAATTGAATCTGTAATATAAACCTATGTGTCATAGACACTAAAAGCTTTTTGAGGTTCCGCCCGTGTGCATATCGGTATTTCAGTAAATTTAATTTGTTAGTGTCAGTCTGATATGTCTAAGACGTACATACGTAATAATTAGGAGTAGGTATTTATGATTCGTCAGCGTCGAGATTTTGCCGCCGTCGTCGCTAGCAAACCGACTACTTGAATACAGCGGCGTGTGCCAAAAATGACACTGAACATTGACCCTGTTGGAAAATCCAACAAAAATAGGTATTAAAACCTCCTCAATTATTTATTTCATAATATTTAAATATAGAACGCTGTGTTCTTATGATTATGATTATAATTTGTTTTATGTTCTTCAATATTTTGTTAGACCGGTAATTATATCGACATTTTAATAAATATATATAATTACGATTTAATTTACAATTAGGTGTTTTATAATTATTTATAAAGATTACATCCACGCACCTCGTTGATATTCACACAGACCCTACGTGTTCTGCCACTGGTAACCGCGACAATGATGGCTTCGTTGTGGTACAAAAGAAGAGGTGTACAAAGGGTCAATAGGAACCATTGTGGCACTGCGCTCACTGGGCCCAATCTCCTGTTACGTGCTGCTACACCGACCACGGCAACGTACCTGTCCCGTCTACATTACGCCACTAAGGAGCAGGACATTCTTGATTATATATGGACCAAGAGTAACCTGACATTGAGGGTGACGCAGCTGGAGTCGAGTCACAGCGCGAGTTTCAAGGCGTCTGTAGCCCGGGTCCCCACGAATATACTGCCCACCTTCATGAAGGAGGACTACTGGCCGAAAGGTGTGGTGTATCGGCACTACCGTGGCAGATTGCCGTCGTCAATGCCGTGACACACAGACAAGATCAATATATTAGTTTTAAAATATTATTTCATATGTATTTGAAACAAATAAATAATAATAAGTATATGAAAAACGTAACAATACATTTTCAAATAAACTCTACATTTAAAAATAGGTCAATGTTTGGTGCTCTTTAAAAAAAAAAATGGTAGGCATAGATATGAGTATTTACAGAAACCACGATTTTCGTACATAAATTTACTTGGCGCACTTAGTCTTATCTATATAGAGCTCCTTAGTCTATTGTTTTATAGAAGAGGTTCGTTTCGCCATCTCCCGAATGAAATAATATAGATACGTAATACTAATATTTTTAATCTTTATATGTATTTTACATAGATAGGTACAATCTTTTCTTAGATTTCCTGTAAAATAAATCACAAACATTCTTTATGTTAAAGAAGTTTAAACAGAAAGGAAAAGTCTGACTTTGTTTTTATTATTTAACTAGCTACTCGCCCCGGCTTCGCACGGGTGGACATGTATTAACCTTTGTCTAGAATCACTCTATTTATTTAAAAAAACGAAGGGACTAACTAACTTATAGGGACAGACAGCGACAGCGACTTGATTTTATACTATGTAATGATAATGCACAGGTATTACCACACACAGTTTTAGCATTAGATATTATTTATATTTATACAATGTCCCTGTGGACACATTATAAAAATAAATAGGTATCCAATTGAATTTATATGTTCTATGTATAATCAATGATACCTGTCTCTTCATGGATACCTAGTTAATTAGGTATATCGTATTCACTTGTATAAACTTTCAATGTGAACATTAAATTATACGGTGTAAGTGAGAAATAGTTACAAAGAACAAGCAGACACTCAATATTCCAACATCTTAATTCCAAATTAATTGCTCCAGGATGTACCAATAAATCTACCGTCGTTATTAAAAGAATCGAGTTTGCTTAGACCATCGTTTCGATTTTAGTATTAGAGTCCAAATGCATTTCATTCTAAACTTTATTCGTTGTGTTACAGGGGTTATATTCCAATTACAAAATACTCGTTATAGGCTGTTATTATGTGTATTAAGCAGATTTTACTAGCCTACGCCCATTGATTAACACGGGAGATAAAACTTAGTTTAATGAAGTATTTTTATACTAAGCATTTTTTCACATTGTTAGCTGACCGTGAGTCCCGGAACAAAGTTGCTATAGAGCATCATTCTCCTTTTAAATTATTTTATTATACTAAATATTACTTGTAAAGCAAGAATGTATTTTGGATATGGCCGTGTATAATCACAATAAGTTACATATTATGTATGAATGAATTAATAATATCTGGTTAGGTTAACTGTTTTGTTCAATTTTAGATAGTTAAAAAATGTAATTGTTGTAAAGTGTTAGTACCTATTTACTTATTTATATAAGAAAATACTGTTACTTTTACATATACTTTCATTGAAGGTTTTATTTTAAATAGGTATAAATTATAATAATTTATTTTAAATTAATTTATTTGTTTTTAAAATCTGTATTATAATAAAGGTTATAAAAACAATTTGTTCTTCAAAATTAGTCTTATATATATATGTATGTACATATAATAAATAATTATTGTCTTATGTTTATTGAAAATTTTATTTTATTTTGTACATTCGCGTCTATTTGTCTTTACTTAGTGAATACATTAAAAGCACAAGCTCTAGTAACAACAAAATTAAAATTCAGCTGTCAAGTAAACTGTACTTGTTTAAAAAAAGCACTTTCATAAATAAATTATAAA